CTTTGGGGCTGGGTTGCTTCGTCCTTTGAGCCTGCTGGATGTCCTGGTGATCTTCAGGCATACTCGCCCCGATGTCGACGCTCCGCAACGAGAAAATCCGCACCGGACACGTTTATTGAGGGGGTTTGGTTCGTCGTCCTTAGTTGGCGACCTAGGAAGATTCTACTACCACTATCAACTTGACAGCGAAGTAAAACTTTGGGCGCTCGCGTGTGCGACTGGGCCTCCGTTTTGGCGCAGAAGGCGGTTGTGTTGTTTTTTTGACCACGATGACTGCGTATAAATTCAAACATGCGAAGATCACAGTCGATTGCTATCAACGCAAGGACGTTCTGTACCAAATCCAGATTGCGGCTGATTTGATGGATGCTAAGTCAGAGGAGGCATTTATGGCGTGCCTGGCTACCGAGGAAGGTGCTAACAAGATGATCGAGTTGATAACGCAGTTAAACTTTGGGCCTTCGCGTGCGCGGTCCATTCTGTATGCGGTCGCTAATTACTTAGAATCTACGACAGCGGTTGCGGAGCCGATTTGCAATCTTATCCGTGACGCTGCTAGAGACTTTAAAAAGATGGAGTACAGCCATCAGAAGGGCGTCAAGCACGACACCACTAAGTGGAACGAGCTCCTCCGCTCAGCGGAGCGTTTCGATCTTACGAAGGAAATAGCTTCGTTTATGAATGGAGAGATGTCGTATCTCAGGGCGTGTATTTACACTGTCAGGGTGCTACTAATCAACGAGCCGATTTCGCGGAAGAAGATTTTGTTGCAACTGACTATGGAGAGTGTGGCGGCATTACTCGCAGCGGATGGAAGCGTGGTTTTGCCTCCACGCGGCAACGATGGCGCGGTGCACATGAGGTGGAGACAGTCCACAAAAGCAGTAGTGAGGAGGTTCGTTTCACTCTACCGCAACAGGAGCGAACGAAGATTGGCTTCGCCCTTTCTGTTTGCGGGAAGTAGCGAAGTCGAACCGTGCCACATCAAAATGCGACCGTCGTTCAATTACTACCGGGTAGCCATGAACAATATGTTGGCTGGTCGTCTGCCGAACCTTATAACATCGGCTGCAAAATACCAGGGCATCACAGAAGGAACGCTGATGGCGTCCCTGTACCAACCTGTCCTGGATAAACTACCTACTAGCCGCACCTCCTCAATTTTGACTTACGACGAGTATTACGATGAATGGGAAGAGTCCTTCACAGACCAGCTTTGCTGGGTTATTGAAGTAGACGACCTCGAAGTGGAGGAATCTGACACATCGGAGAGTGTGGACGAGTGTGTTTCCGACGATGACGATTGCCCGACGCCTATTGTCGTGCACCGGAATGGTGAACGGGTGTCGGATAACCAACATATGGTAATTTACGAGCCGTCACGGCCACAATCAGGTGCCACGTTTACGGTGACACTTGATCCGAAGAATCCTGACGAAATCATCATTCGTCGGCACCTCTGAAAACTGTTTGGAGAAGTTACGATTGTTGTGATTTTTGGTTTGTACAACTACCAAGACAAATAAGATTTACAACACCCACGAAAACGTATTTATTTTCATCCAACCACCGTAATGACAGAGCCAGGGACCACTGGTGATTGAGGCGGTGACAATTGCAGATGGTCAGTTTTGGACAGAACCCGCTAGTGATAATAGCGAGTGCGGGCACTCTTCCGCTGTTGGGGCGTGAGGCGGTAACAATTTCAGGTTCTCAGTTTTGGGCGGAACCCAAGTGTGAGATAGAAGTGCGCGATGTGGACCACGACTGCTGTTATGGTTGGTTGGGGGTGTTACGCGGAAAATTTGATGTTTACTGGTCGGTCTCAGCTCCGAGTCAAAGCTCACGGCTTGACATCACCACTGGTCCACAAAGAGAGGTTCCGGGTCCTCCTCCCCCTGCGCACGGCTAACAGCCTACTGCAGTGCGGGTGCGACCGGCTCTCTTT